CTAAACATAATTAAAAAATATCCTGGAGGAGCAAACTTGAGCACAGGTGCACTTGTTGTGCCCTGACCAAGGCTGAGCTGGGGTAGGGAAGGTCGGTACTGCCCTCAAGTGAGAGCAGCTCATTTGTAGCTTGCCCATTACATGCTCTGCTTCTCTTGTGTTAGGTCTGCCTTGTCGCAGGAATTGTGGTTGAGCCAAAACACATAAATGGAGGGAAATGAGACTGTTTTGATTACAGTGTGACCCCATCCAAGAGCCCGTGTGCGCCACCTCGACTGTTTTTGTAATCACTGCTAATTCAGTCCCTCAGGAAACTGGTTTGTGGAGATAGGCAGTTGCACTGTACCAAAGTGCCATCAAGACCTCTTCTCTTCCCAGAACCTGTTATTTATTGCCAGGCTGCCTTTTCATTGGCTTCATAATATCAAGCATTAGGACTGGCAGGTTGCTGCTGAGCCTCACCCCTCTGAATATCTGTATGCCAAATCATGGCCACTATTCATGCTTCGATCAGCTAGTTTTGCCTCAGGAAGGTGTTCTTTCCCCTTTCATCTTCACATGCAATTGCCAGGCAATCAGTGGGGCTCATGTCCGAGGGTGATGCGATCTGATGGTTCTCATCTTGTGCTCACAGCGAGATCAAGATACTTTTTGCTTTCTCGATGTGTCCTGGGGTGTTGGGGCCTGCAGTGGGGAAATCCAGACTCTTTTCCTACCATGGCTCCCGCATGACGGATGAGTCCCTGAACTTGATCCCTGTGAGGTAACGTAGGCTGAGTGCTACCATGACAGTTATAGTCGCCCTGTGCACCCATCGGGAGCAGGTCTGAGTCACTGGGGCGGAGATATGGGGGCTGAGTGGAGCAGACTGTAGGGCTCGCTGCTGGACCACCCTGTAGCCAAGCGCTCAGGGGCTATGCAGGCCTGAAGAGGGAAGAGGCAGGCAGTGCTGGTGGTGTTGCTCTTGAGGGGTCTGCTCTTAGATTTTGGGTGCCTAAACAGCAGAGTTCTTCAAGTTCTAAATTTTATCATTTGTATCCCAGAGGGTATGAGCTGCTTGCTTCCCGGGAATGTTAATTAGTGTTTACTTCATACGCTGAAATCCTTCCCCTACCAGCCTGCTGGGTAGGAATGAATTTGGGGGAAAGGACTAAACAATGTGAAAGCTGATGTTGTGCATCATTATTTTCCAGTATAGATCAATGTGTTTAGAAGCACATAGATGACATTTTTCTGCAATGGAATTGAACTTCTTCTCATGTAAAGGAAAAGTGGAGGAGAAAAGATTAATACTTAAGTATATCTGTGTAGTAAATATGTTAACACTTATATCTGTATAATAAATATGTTAATATAATAAGGCCTCCAACTCAATCTGCTTAAAGTGTTCCTTGCTCCTATGTTCATAACCAACCTGCATAACAAACTCTTATTTAGAAGTGAGGAGATAAATTATGCTGGAGAAGGAACCAAAATGCCTTATGGAGAATTGGTCCCTGAAGAGAAAAGTCTCTATCACAGAAGTGTGGGGGGTATCAGCCAGAATTCAAGTTGCCTGGTTTTCCTAGGCACTGTTACATCTGGTGTATATTTGAACTGTGTGGGAGTAGGAGTGATGCAGAGCAGTTGGAGAGCCAGAAGCAAAACTCCTGGCTCATATGGGATGTCTGTCACCAGTGTCCTTTTTCCTGTTGGATAAGTTGCTAGCTTGTGATTTGGGACTCACAGGACTCAGGTCTTCGGTATATTTGAAGTTTTGTTCTGTTAAAGTCAAACTGTCAGACTTCATCAGAATATGGAGGATTCTGCGTGCCTTAGGGTGAAGAGAGATTTTTCTTACTTGCGTTTCTTAATGAACAGATCAGGAGTAGATTAGATTTCATGGAGACATTTTCAAAAGGAGAATGGAAACAAATGTTATCCACACAAATGTATGGATTAGTTATAGACAAAATTTTTAGGAGAGAGAGAGAAAAAAATAACTGTTTCACTAGAAGAGTAAAAAGCTTGACAAGGCAAGTCTACCCAAAACCATATTTCATGATTTGTCTATTTTTGCCTTTTTTTTCCCCATGTCAGTAGTGCTTGTGTCAGCTCCATGAATCTTTGGGTGCAATCCCCTTGTGGTTAAAATATACTATAATGTCACTTGTCGTCTTCTTCCTCTGCTGCTCCCTCTCTTCTGAAGCACCCGACACTGAAGCCACGTCTCCCTCTCACTGGAGAAGATTCTGCACAACGCTCCTGGAAATAAGCTGTGACTTTCATGTCCTCTAATGGGTATAAACATTCCTTCTGTTGCTCTCTGCTGAATTCCTGCACAATTTGCTTTCCCGAATGATTAGGTGCAGAGCTTAGAGGTTGTTGTGATCTCTCAGCATCTTTTCTGCACATGTTGCAGTTCAGTGCTCCTCGTCTGTCGGTAGCCCCATCAGAAGCCCGGTTCTTCACCTCTTTGCTTGGCTGCTTCTGGGTGCGCCTTGTGCAGAAGGAGTCATGTCTTCAGCCACTGGGCATTGCCCCTTTTTACCTCCTCTGCTGAACAAACCTCAGCTCTCACAAAGACTCTTTTCTGTCATAAAATGTTTTATGGCATAAGAATAATGATCTACCTGTGATAAAACAGCTCCCAGATGCTTTTCTTCCCTTTTCCTTTTGTCCTTTGTTTTAGGATAACCATTTTATTAGCACGGGTTTCTCTGGGGGTCAGCTGCGGTGCAGCGTGGAGCGTGCGCCGTCACCGCTCTCCACGCCGCGCTAGGGAACCGAGCCGTGGCTGCTGCCGGGAGGGGGGCACGCGCAGCCGGGAGCGCGGCTCGCTGCACTGAACCCAACGCCGTCTTTCCATCCCTGCTCTCATCCCGACTCGTTTCTCCGTGTGACTCTCCAGCTCCTTCACGTTCCTCGTGCAGTTCTTCCAGTGCAGTTTTCACTGCTTTCCAGCTTAGATCTCAGAGTCAGCGCATCATCCTCAGCCACCCTGACTTTCAGATGGCTTCAGTACAGCCACATCATGCTCTTCTCGTCAGCCTTGTCATCTCCTGGCTTGCAGGAGTCTGTCAGCTCCTCTTGTCCTGTTATCTCCATATCGCTGGTTCAGATTATGCTATTTGTCTCCTCTCACAGTCACTCCCATCTCAAAATTAAATAAATAAATAAAAAGCTGGGAGGGTTCTGCAGAGTTCTTACGAAAGTAAGAGTTTTGCAGAGTTTTGCTCTGCATCTGTCTTCACCCGCAGTTCACAAGCTCAGGGCTCTAAGTGGATTTGCAAGCTCAGCGGAGGTGCAGTTTTCTGCTGTGCCCTAGGAGTTCAGTTGCAGTAGGACATGTTTGGGTTTTGCAATTTCTATTTTGTCGCACTTGTCAGCACAAATTTGAAGGCTGCCCTGTGTACAACTTGCAAAATTACCTCAGGTCCAGATGTGCCTCCATTTGCTAGCCTCAAATTTCAGCATGTGGTTTATATATATATTTATTTTTACTGCTTTTCCTAGATGCACTCAGGCACAGATGGTGTCTGTTGGCTAATAGAAGCATCTTTACATTTTTCATACACCCTCAAAATTCTCAGCTGTTTAACCTCCTGTGCTGGCATCACTTCTCATAGTGACCAGCATTCTCCTCATAACAGAGAGAGTCCAGTGGAGGGCCACAAAGATAACTAAGGGACTGGAGCATCTATCGTATGAGGAAAGACTAAGTGAGCTGGGGCTGTTGAGTCTGGAGAAGAGAATGAGATGGGGATTTGATCAACATGTACAAGGACCTGAGGGGTGAATGTAGGGAGGATGGGGCCAAGCTCTTCTCCATGGTGGCCAGTGACAGGACAAGGGGTAAAGGGTACAAATTGAAACACAGGCAGTTCCATCTCCATGTGAGGAGTATCTTCTTTCCTGTGAGGGAGTCAGAGCCCTGGAACAGGCTGCCCAGAGAGGCTGTGGAGTCTCCTTCTCTGGAGATCTTCCAAACCCGCCTGGACACCACCCTGTGCCACGTGCTCTAGGTGACCCTGCTGGAGCAGGGGCCTCCAGATGTGCCTCTAGAGGCCTCTGGAGGTGCCTTCCAACCTCAACCATTCTGTGAGTCTGTGATAATCCTCAGGAGGTCCTTACTGCCTTCAGCCCTAAGCCTTGGCCTTCTGGCCTCTTAGCTTTTATTTAGAAGGTCACTGCAGGATGGACCAACTCTTCTTTGTGTGTGTGTTTATAGCTTAACCAGAAAAGGATGTTGATTTATAGCTATGGCTTTTAAGTACTTGTTTATGTATAAACAGGTAATAGTGACCTGTGTCCTGAGCTGCACATGGTTGCGATTGTCAAGAGAGACAACTTTCTTGGCAAGGAGAAAAGAGAGGGAGAGAGGGGCTGGCATACCTATAGGTACTGAGGGCGCATAAGGATGACTACCCTATATTCTATTTTATTGTTGTTTATTTATTTTATTGTGGGCAGGTGATGTTCATTCGCTGTTCCTTCAGCTTAGCTATATGAGGCTGATGATGGTTTATTTGTAATACTTCTCTATAAATTATTTATTTTTGCTCAAAATGAACAGAAACAAGAAACTGGCTTAAATAGAGACTGTCAACATAAAAATCGCACACACTATTTTAATGTCTAGAGACATTAAAATGAGTAATGCTAGTGTGGAAAGAAATCAAGGGAATTTCCCCCCCTGTTCTTTCAGGTTGACTTTTGGCACCTTTTCATTAGTACCTTTTCGTAAGAAGTTTCATCACAGTCCCTGAAAACATGTTAAAGGATAAATGTTTAAAACTCTTCTAGTATTTTTTAAGAGAATTAGAATATCATATTATTTTGAATCCTTTGCCACTTAAAATAAAAGAAACACAAATAAAGCTGAGTATAGTTTAAGTTGCTTCTCTTTCTTTACTGTCCTTTTTCTGCTCCTATATTTTGTATTTCCATTACAATTTTTTATGTTGTCCAACTTTGAACTGAACATGCAAATTTTAAATGAGAATAATTATTTTTTTCAGAGTGTTGGGAAGAAATTACCTCCAGCCACAGCAACTCAGGAGCCAACAAAAATAGAAGTGGACAGCAGAACAAAAAGTAGGTTTCACTGTTTCTTTTTAACTTGCACTTTGCACTTTTAAGCCTCTTAAAAGCAAGCTGAGCATTTTTTCTTTGGCTTTAACTAAAGGAGCATTCTGTGTATCTGAATAGCAGGAGGCAGTTAGATATATTTAGGATAAACTTTGAGTAGGATAAACTTTGAGTAGGCAGTACGTAGACAGAATGCTTTGTTTCACAGATCCTCATTGTTGTTCTTATAATCCTACCTCGAGTTTTCTGCCACCAAAATCAAATTAAGTTATGTCGTCAGCTTTCAGCCTTGAATTAATCTGAGTTGAATAAGCTCCAACTTCATGCTGTAACTTGTAGGTGCATCATAGAAAAATATCCCCTGTTCTGAGTGTCTTTTTTTCCTCTTTTTCCCTTTTTACTTAGCAGAAAAAAAAATGTGTGGGTGGTATAGTTTGTGTAGGAACTAAAAAATAAACAGTGGTTGAGAACTTCAGGAGATTTTGTTTTGTTTAGCTTGATGCTTAGAAGAACAAAAAACAATAATTAAGTCTCTTAGGAAGGTCTCAATTCTGTTCCGTGGAGATGCATGCAACTAGTTTACCAAATAACTTCTGTGCATATTAGCTCTTCTTTGCTTTTATTTGTATTTATTACAATTAAATGGCTTTGGGTTTCAGTGGAAGGCAATAGGAGGAAGAGAACGTCGCTATATCTTTGCATAGAATTTATGACAACATAAGATTTTGAGTTTCTGAGTTAAATTCTTGCCTTATCCATGTTTAAGGATCTTTTTATTTCACAGGTAAAAGCTGCTCAACTTTGTTTATAAAGCTGATAGAATAACTTGGGAGCTTTATATCCATGTTGTATAACTTGACTCACAAAAAAAAAAAAAGATTCTCATCTATCACTTTGCCACTTCGTACTTGTTTCTTTCAAGATATGTTTAGTTCAGCTTAGTTAATCATTTATGTAGCTTTAAAACAGTCAGGAAACCAACTTGCTGTTTCCCTGGAGGAGCATGTATGAAAACCTAGGAAACTTTGTCTTTATCTGTAAGTTATGTTTTCCCGTGTTTCAGTTCACGTGATGCCTCTTTTTATAAACTTGCACAGTTCTGCTTCCTTGATGTGTTTATCCTTTCAGAGAGGTAACAGGCTGCAATAACATTTTTGCCAGGACTAAGAGACAGACAGAGGAAGGGAGGGATCTGGAGCAGGAGAAAAGAAGCGGAGAGAGGAGAGTGTCATTTGAATGCAGTTTGCTGCATATTTTCAGCAGAACTCTGAGAGGCAAACACAGCTTGCAGCAGCCCCACGAGTTGGTGCCGCGTAGCCGCGCTGCAGTCCTCGACGCGCCTCTGAGCTCGCCGCCCTTGCAGGGCACACCGGGCCGGGCGGGCGCGCTGAGCTCCGGCACCCTGAGGCGCTGGGAAGCGC